TCTTGCCTTTATGCATCCTGAAAGCAGGCACAGCAGAGGTAAATCTATAATTAGGGGGTTATTTAAAATAGAGATTTATGACCTGACAAACTGCCACCTGTCTGTACATGCCACAGTGAAAACTCTTTCCAGCCCTTTGTCTCCAGGGGTGTCTAGTCTATTCTAGGTCTCTGGTTTCCACTGGCTGCTGGGTTCATATTACTCTGTCTGAGCAGGGTGTGTGGACTGAGGTGTGTGCATAGCTACCCCGACATTAGCATTGTATTGAAATCTCATTTAAAAATGATACATCTTTCTCCATGTTGCATTCTTTGTCCTAAAACCAGTCATCCTGATAAAGTTTGACTTTAGCTCACCTCACTATACAAGTATTGAATGCTCAGAACCTTAAGGTCAAGTTTCAGACAACAGAAAATAGAATTCTTTGTGCAAGGTGAATAAAAGCTACAGGACAATACATGACAATCCTTAAAATTCATAACAGCTCAAGCAATTCAAAGCTCTGTAACAGGAGACTGATATTTTAGAATGCTTAACACATTTAAGAGGGCTTGGTGGCACACACTTGTAATCCCAGCAACGGGGGAGGTTGCAGCAGGTGGATTGCAAGTTCAAAGCCAGCGTGGGCAAGGTAGGAAACCCTGTCTCAAAATAAAACATGAAAAGGGCTGGGGACAAGGGATAGTACCCCTGGATTCAATCCCCAGTACTGAAAAAAATAAAAAAATTTGCTTGCAATCATTTTAGTTGGTAGTAAGTATTTACTGAGTACTTGTTGTGTTTACAGCCTTTATATCAAATTCTGCCTGTATACATCAGGCATGTGTTTATAAAATGTCATTCCCTGTTATTTGCTGCTGAAGCCTGGGCCTCACTCTTTATCCACACACTGATTTTCCACCCATGCTTACTCACTGTGGGTCTTTCATTCAAAATAAAAATATATACCAGTGTATGATTAATACAGTGACTTAAAACCTTGAATTCCCATTTATTGGACCCTGTAAATGAAATGCATATTTCACACTATATATACTTGCAGGATACATTCTTTTCAAGACTTATTTATTTATTTATTTATTGTATGGGGGCTTGAACTCAGGGTCACTCAACAACTGAGCCACATCCCTAGTCCATTTTTTGTATTTTACAAAAAATTTTGTATATTTTACACTAAAAATATAAAAGATACCCAAGTGCTCATATTTACCACTTTTCTATATTTGCTTCATACTGGTTTTATTTTTAATGAAAGCATTTATGATAGTCAAAGGTCCCACCCTCCCCTCTTTCCTCTCAGTAAACCTCTCCTCTTTGTTTTTTGAAAAAAAAAAAAGTTTTTGAAACTTTCACAACTTACGTTTTATTTATTTATTTATTTATTTTTATATTTATTTTTTAGTTTTCGGCGGACACAACATCTTTGTTTGTATGTGGTGCTGAGGATCGAACCCTGGTTGCACGTATGCCAGGCAAGTGCGCTACAGCTTGAGTCACATCCCCAGCCCACAACTTACATTTTATTATTATTTTTGGCATTGGGGATTGAACTCAAGGGTACTCAGCCACTGAGCCACATCCCAAGCCCTATTTTGTATTTTATTTAGAGACAGGGTTTCACTGAGTTGCTTAGTGACTTGCAGTTGCTGAGGCTGGCTTTGAACCTGCGATTCTCCTGTCTCAACCTCCCAAGCCGCTGGGATTATAGGCCACCATGCCTAGCCTAACATTAGTTTTTTAACTTATGGAAATGAGTACCTCTTTCATTTCCTTGCTCTTTATCTTGCTTCTGCTTTTCATCTTTTACTTTTCTTCTCAGAAGTGATCACACCTAAAATTGTCTTATGTGTTTATTTCTTCTCCTCCCACAGACTGTAAAGGGTCTAGACTTTGCCTTCTGAGTATTCAGAACCTGTCTGGCTTACTAGCCTTCAATACTCTTGACAGAATGAAAAAATGCAGGTCCATCTGTACATGACTCACCACCGCACATTCTCTAAGGCAATACCTTGGTCCTTCACAGCACAGCAAGAGATACATTTTATATAAGTCACAAACTTATACACAAAAGTGAAAGAAAAGTTTCAGGATACAACACTCATACTGCTCTCATATTCTATTTCACTGCAAAGACAGAAATACAAATGCTGCAGAATTCCACTTATATGAAGTATCCAAAATAGTCAATTTCACAAAATTGAAATGGAATAGTAGTTATCTAGGGCGGGGAGAGAGAGGGAAGTGAGGAGTTACTACTAATCATCAGGCATAAACTTTCAGTTAAGTAAGATGAATAAATTCTAGAGATCTGCTTTTCAACACTGTATCTATAGTCAACAAAACAGTATACTTACAAATTTCTTAGGAGGGTAGATTTCATGTTAAGTGTTTCTTACCAATCACAATAAAATAAAACTACTAAGGTAAATGAACACACACACACACACACACACACACACACACACATAGAATGATATAGAAAAATATGCTAGTTGCAAACTACTGAATTGATGTCACAATCCACCAACAGATTCAAACCTATTCTAGAAAAAACAGTTCTAGTTATATATCTTGAAATGCTGTTGCTGGGTTTTTACTAAATATTTCTGAATTGTTCTCTAATATTAAAAAAAATTACAGTACTAACATTATTGTGCGAGTTGCTTGAATCCTTACTCAAACTTCGTTTTATCAGACTTTATAGTTTTGCCAGTCAGAACAAAACTGTATCTCCTTGTTTTAAGTTTTCATTTTCCTGATTACTAAAAATAGTACATGTCTTTTTTTTTTTTTTTTTTTTTAAATATTTTTATTTTATTTATTTTTCAGTTATTGGCAGACACAACATCTTTGTTTGTATGTGGTGCTGAGGATCGAACCCGGGCCGCACGCATGCCAGATGAGCGCGCTACCGCTTGAGCCACATCCCCACCCCAGTACATGTCTTTTTTAAAAAGATCAAAGAGCTTGGGCTGGGGTTGTGGCTCAGCATTAGGGCAATCACCTAGCAAGTGGGAGGCCCTGGGTTGGACCCTCAGCACCACACATAATAAAATAAAGGTATTGTATCCAACTACAACTAAAAAATAAATATTCTTAAAAAAGAATCAGAGAGGGGCTGGGGATGTGGCTCAAGCTGTAGCACGCTCACCTGGCACGCCTGCTGCCTGGGTTGGATCCTCAGCACCACATACAAACAAAGATGTGTGTCCGCCGAAAACTAAAAAATAAATATTAAAAAAAAAAAAAGAATCAGAGCTTATCTTTAAAAAGCATGTAAGCCAAACTATTATCTAGTGCCTCAGGAGGACTAAGAATTTTCTTATCAGAACTTTTCATAGGCAAAGTGACTTAATCTTCCCTAGTTTATGTGATTGGCAATTACAAATGCTAATATTTTAATCTTAATGGCAGAAAACTATCTTCCAAGGACACTGCACTAAGGACAATTTTAATTCATTCATTTAGTTGTTCATTCATTCAACAAATATTTATTACTACCAGTAATTTCACCAGACAGACCAACAGGTTCTCCTCCTGGCCCCTACTTTCCAGATCTTGAATTCTTTGGCTCTCGCACAGAGACAAAGTGACCTTTGGGCTGGAGTGTTTAAGAAAAGCTCTAAGACTCCTCCCAATCCATTGTTCTTATGCATTATTTATTTATAGGTTGTTATCTTCCATATATCCAGAGAGGCACTCAGTAGGTCCTCCCATGCTGTTAACTACCAAGGAATTAGTCCCTACAGAAAAAATTTGAAATACTGGGGAAATGCTAATGTTTTCACTTGAAGCACTTTTTAAAATTTAAAGTCATAATTAGGGGCCTTTTAAAGCAACCCAAATTCTTGCTGTTTCTTCTGAAAGCAAGTTTTTTGCTCTTTACAAAAAAAAAAAAAAAAGAAAAAAAAGGCTGGGCGCAGTAGTGCACGCCTGCAATTCCCAGTGGCTCTGGAGGCGGAGGCAGGAGGACCCTCAGTTCAAAGCCGGCTTCAGCAAAAGCAAGGCCCTAAGCAACTCAGTGAGACCCTGTCTCTAAATAAAACACAAAGGGGATGTGGCTCACTGGTCAGTGCTCCAGAGTTCAATCCCCAGTATCCACCCCACCCATACACAAACAAAAGCTTCACACTTTACTTTGTCGCCTTGCCTGGTTTGATTCAAAGGGCATTAAACATATCTTGACTCAGTTAATCCTAATTCTGACAGAAGGAAATATCTCTAAGCCATGTTAATGTAGCCTGCAGCTTCTATCTCCAACGGATGTTCTCTAAAATCTTATTTTAATTTTTTTTTTAATCCCACTTAAAGGTCTTCACTAAACTGCAGGGGCTGTTTTTAACTTTGAATACTACAGGTCTTAAGTAAAACAAGTCAACTTTCTGCGCTTTCTGGAAAGGTCGGGGTTTAAATCATTTAAGTGCTTCAGACAATGGTGTGGTTACCAGATAAAGAGGGGCTACACCTCAAGGTGGTACTTCGGCTTATAAAGGGTGGTTCCTGTTGGATTCTTTGATATAAATATATTTTAATTATGTAAACCGCAAGGTGCAAGGGAAGTGGCCAGTGCCCAACGCGTAAACCGATCTCCAGCGCCGCTCTCCAAATATCCCAGTCTCCGCTTTCCTCCCCAGCCACGGAATTCATGCAAATCAGTCTTCTAACCCCGGGGCAATACGAACTACTTTCGCGCCACTCGCTCAGGACCGTGTAGCTGTGTAGAGAGCATCGTCCTCACAGCTCCCAAAGAGTCACTTTTTCAAAGGTAATTTTAGGAGTCACCAAGGCTATCCTTTGAGCTCAGAATATGTGGGGGGCTAAGGTTTTTTATCTGGGCTTGAGTAGATCTCGCGCCCGGTCGGGTTGTTAGCTAACCTTGCAGGACCTGCACCACAACGCGGGAAAGCCGGCCCGAGCCCCGCCCCTCCGAGCCCAGGTTTGAGCGCCCCTCCTGCCAGCAGCTCGGCTCCCTCAGCAGCTCCTCTGTAGGACCGCGGCGCGTGGCTGCTCGGCTCACCCGGCTCGGAGCACAGCCTGGGTGCCCGCCGCCAGCATGAAGGGTCGCCGCGTGCTGGTGAGGGCTGGGCGGGCGAACCTGAGGGGCGGGTGCGCTGGGGGCTGGACGCGAGCGGGCTGGAGGCTACACCCCCGAGTCCGCCGCGGAGTGTGCTTATCAACTGGTGGTCGCCCTGGGCGTCGCCCTTTGGGGCAAGTCTTGGATTTTTGTGCCGCTGGGGGAATTTAGGGCCAGTGGCAAACCCGCCGGCATGCGCACCGGCGTGCGGATAGTTGCGGAGAAGAGAGCTGTTTGTAGGATGGTTGGCCACGCTGGGGAGCCTCSGCACGTGTGCCCGAGATGCACGTGCGCCTGCCAGAGGCCAGGGACTGGCCAGACTCGGGGCACACAGCCGCCAGCCCAGCTCTCTCCTGTATGCAGCTCTTGGGACAGTGGGTGGCCGTGGGATGCGCATCCTCGGTGGCTGCTTCTAACTGCTGAGCGTCTTGCRAACGCATCTTTTTAGAAGTTGGGTTGTATACGGGAGAAGTTTTGTTTCGTTTGTCCCAGGTAGTGGTTAATTGCAGTTTAAGGCCTCCTGGATAATCCAAACCATTTGCGACCATTTACTCATTCCTCACTTTCTTCTCTCATCTCCCAACCACAATTCGCAGTAGCGAGTTGCACTCAATGGAACGTTACTGTTTGCTCTAACGGAAGCCAGAATGTAGGCCTGCCCAGGAAGCGGATAGTAGAGTGGGGGTTGGGTGGAAAGGAAGAGAATGACTGCTTAAAATAAATAGCAGGGGTTAAGGACCCACGTGGGGGAGGCTGGGATGGGTGGGAGGGGGCGTGGTTTCAGCCTGGCCGTAGGCCGGGTGGCACTGGGCTCGGGCTTCCAGAATGAAGAAAGCCACATGTTAGCTGAGCTTTGAATCTGATTTAACTGGGTTGGTGTTTGGGCCACCCTGTGATTTGAGTAATGCCCTCTGAGTTTTAGTTTCCTCATTTGTTTAGTGAAAGTAATGATAGCACCTTTGTTGCAAAGACTTAGAGCAGACTTAGTGCCTGGTATGAAATACAAAACCCAGTATAAATGGTATTAGTTGTTCTGCTTGCCAGAAAAGTTCATGTCTGTCATGACCATTTGCTCTGTCTCTGTCTTTTCCTCCAAAAGTACATTTGCCAGGTAAATAACTCTTGGCACGCGCTGACTTGTTAAATCTTCGCTTGTCTTTCCCTGACAGCTCCAGTAAAATGCCTCCCTTGAGGCTGCCTTGGGCCTCTCATGGCTTGCAGGTAGATTGGTGAGAATCCCTGAAGTAATGCATAGAGCACTGCTGTTTTAAGAGATTGCAGACTTGAGTTTTTCCAGCCCTGTGATCTTGGGCAGTCTTTTCCACCTACCTGGGGCCATGAATTGCTTCCGCTGAGATACCTTTCCGCTCCTAACATGAATTGTATACATTTACATGTAACCTTTTATATTTTGTAGCTCTGCCTGTTACCATGTTTTCCTACCTTGCTAAAAGGTCAAAAGACAGAAACTTCTTAAGAGGATTGAATGGCATTCTCTTAGGGGCATAGGGAAATTACTATGGAAATTCTTGCCAGTAATTTGCGAGACTGAAATGTGGAATATGGAGTGAAGGTGATCAAGAATGTTCTCTCCATGACTGGGGGTGTGGCTCAGTGTTGGAACACTTGCCTAGCATATGTGAGGTCCTGGGTTCGATTCTCAGCACTGCATATAAAAATATTTTTTTAAAAAAAAGAATGTTCGGGGCTGGGGATGTGGCTCAAGCAGTAGCGTGCTGGCCTGGCATGCGTGTGGCCCGAGTTCGATCCTCAGCACCACATACAAAGATGTTATGTCAACCAAAAACTAAAAAATAAATATTAAAAATTCTCTCTCTCTCTCTCTCAAAAAAAAAAAAAAAAAGAATGTTCTTTTGATTTACCTGACACCTCACATCTTAGCATTGTTTTGTGAGACACCAAAGTTGACTTTCAAAGATTTGGGTGTAAGGACTCAACTGTTATTCCATGGTCTTACAGAAAGAAAATAGAAGCATAGAAACTAAAGCAATGCTTAAGTCTCGATAAAGACTAAAGAAATGGGGGGGCTGGGGATGTGGCTCAAGCGGTAGCGCGCTCGCCTGGCATGCGTGCGGCCCGGGTTCGATCCTCAGCACCACATACNGTTGTGTCCGCCGAGAACTAAAAAATAAATATTAAAAATTCTCTCTCTCTCTCTCTCTCTCCTCTCTCACTCTCTCTTTAAAAAAAAAAAAAAGACTAAAGAAATGGTAGAAATGACTACTCTTTTTACAAAAGATAGATCCCAGTTGTGTTTTCTCATAAGCAATGCAAGACTGTTCATTGAATGAATGAAGCGTTTTCATATTTACCAATAATTTGCATGTTATCAAAGGACTTTAAAAAACAAAAACAAAAAAAAAACCCCTCAAGTCCCCTGCCCTCCCAGACTATCTAACTCAGGGCCTCCTGTTTGCTGGGCAAGTGCTCTCCCACTGTGCTATACCCCCAGCCCTAAAGTACTTGAGTCTTTTGTGCGTGTGTGGTGCTGGGGATTGAACCCATGGTCTTGTGCTTGTGAGATGAGCATTCTACCAACTGACAATCTATGGTAATAGAGTGCTAAAATAGAATCAGGTACTCCGCCTAGCTTTGGAGTGCTAGTTGAACTATAACTTGATTTAAAAAAAAATATTTATTGAGTTGTAGATGAACACACAGTATCTTTATTTATTTTATGTGTGGTTGTGAGGCTCAAACCCAGTGCCTCACACATGTGAGGCAAGCACTTTACCACTGAGCTATAGCCCCAGCCCCTAAGACTTGACTTCTTATACCATTTGATTTGTAAGGACTTGTGCTGAAATCATACTCCTGATGGGAATGCGGCCTGTTGGGAAGCCTGCCATCTTGAAGTAGAGGTCCTGACTGATTTTCATAGTTTGGAAAATTAGCATCACAGTACAGAGCCTAAAGCTTACATCAAAAAAGACCTCATTAGCTTGATTTTGGCTGAGGGAGAAAAATCGCTCAGGCATTTTGTACTTTTGAAATTTTCTTTTAGTAGTGCTATTTAATTTTTAAAAGTGAGGTTGGATTTTAAAAATTTAGCATTAAGCTCCTGTGGGGCTCATTATAATGCTAAGAACTTGGGCATTTAAGGTTGGGAAGAGGTAGCTGGGAAGATGTTTGAATAAATTGATAAATATCACTAAAATTGTCTCCAAAGGGATAAGGTAGAATTTGACCTGGTTTTGAAGATATTTATAGCAATTGCAAATCTTCCTTTTTCTCTGTATAGTATGAGAAATGGACATACCTACTTTGCTGTTTAAACCTACTAAACTCAAAAGTGATGTCTTTAGTTGGATACTATAGTAAACATCCACTTAATAGTATTGCCATTTCCATTTGCAGCAAAAGGATCTCAGAGTAAAGAACTTAAAGAAATTCAGATATATGAAGTTGATTTCCATGGAAACCTCGTCATCCTCTGATGACAGTTGTGACAGCTTTGCTTCTGATAATTTTGCAAACACGGTAAGTGCTGCCTGAGAATAAACAGAATTGAGTCTGCAGTGCTCAAAATGCCCCAAATGCTTTGTGCGTGATTAAAACTGCTTGCTTTTTGCCTACATTTCTATACAGCCGTTATGAAAATACAGTATGCACTGTAATTTCATTTCACTTTTTGCTGTGGTTCTAGGTAGTAATTGTTGGAGATAGATTAGCTACTTATTCTATCCTTTTGAAATGTCGCCTAACCTAACATGCCTGATGATTTGCCATAACAACTTAGAAATCATTTGTAAACCTCAGAACCATTTTTCTTTGTAACAAAAGCTATTCTCTTGTAGTGCACTTGTAAATGTGATTTGCTCTCTGCACGGTTTATGGAAAATTGGTTCTTGAAAAAGAAAAAAAATGTACAACCACATTTATTTATTTATTTTACAGAAACCTAAATTCAGGTCAGATATCAGTGAAGAACTGGCAAATGTTTTTTATGAGGACTCTGATAATGAATCTTTCTGCGGCTTTTCAGAAAGTGAGGTGCAAGATGTGTTAGACCATTGTGGATTTTTACAGAAACCAAGGCCAGATGTCACTAACAAACTGGCCAGTATTTTTCATGCCGACTCTGATGATGAATCATTTTGCGGTTTCTCAGAGAGTGAGATACAAGACGGAATGGTGAGTTTGAGAGTTTCACCAATGTCAAGAAGTAAGATTTTAGAGGCATGACACACTCGCTTTTTTGAAAATTTTTTTTTCTTATGATTTTTCCCTTTAGTCATGCCAGAAGATTTTGTTGACCTTTTTAAAATTTTGAGTATTTTCTTCATGTCTTAAAGCAGTTTTTCTAATGTAGTCCTACTTTGAAGTCTAAAAACATTTTGTAGGGCCTGACAATCTTAGAAACTTGTAAACTAAAGTTGGCCAACCTCCCAATTCTCATTGTCACAGAGATCCAACCTAGTCAGAGGAAATACACACATCCTAAAGATCAGCTACATTGACATTTACATGCAGGTGCCCAGCCCTATACCTGGCAGAGATCAGGCCTTTGATAATAGCTAGTTTCCAGAGTTAGATTATTACCTGAATCCCGAGAATGTGTGAGGACTCCTATACAAGAGCTCAAGTGCATACAAGGACAAGTAGAATCCTTTCTGCTTCTGAATTTGCAACTGGATAGTCTTTTCCTGTGCTTGTTCTGTCCTCTTTAAGCTCTGTCACCTTGCTCAGACTGATGCTGCTGCTTCTCTACTTGACCCCATACCCTGAGCACACCATGTAATTCTGCAAACATTTTCTTGTCCCAGAGACTTTTTCCAAAGGAAGGTGTGTTATTAGAATCAGATGCATGCTCTTCAGCTCACTGTGGTCTGAGATGGGTCCACTGCCTGTGGGTCACCACTTGAGTAGCACTGAGTGACAGCGCTTGCCCCGTGACTGTTTTATCACTGTCTATTCATCCTAGTATGTATTTGCTCTAATAAGTGATGTTGAGTTACCTTGGCACTTAGGAACATTTTATCACAGGGACCATTCTGTAAATCTGGATGTGACCTGTTGGCAATGCCCTGAATAATTTGTGCTCAATGTTTCAGTTTTTTATAGACACTACCTCTTGTGATTAATATAATGTCCGTTGATTAAAAGTGCTAAGGATTCATGAAAGATCTTTGTTTAGTGTTCTCTCTATCCATGAATAGTACTAAGAACTGTTTGTTGGGCTTTGAGAAACATTTTTTTGTTGGTGCTGGGGTTTGAACACAGAGCGTCATGCATGCTGAGTGTGCTCTCTACCACTGAGCCACACCCGTAGCTCATTAAATGTTTGAGCCAGGTGAGGTGATGTAAGACCCTGTCTCAATTAAATAAAAGAAGAAGCTGCATGCCTATAATCCCAGTGATTTGGGAGGCTGAAGAAAGGAGGATGGCAAGTTCGAATCCAGCCTTAGCAACTTAGCAAGGTCTTAAGCAGCTTATCTATGTCTTAAAACTAAATAAGAACAACAAAAAGCTGGGATGTAGCTCAGTGGTAAAGTGTTCAAGCTCTAGTAACAAACAAAAAAGGGCTGAGAATGTATCTCAGTGGTAGAGCACACCTGTGTTCCATTCCTATCACCCTCCCCACAAAAAAAGTGGACAGAGAATTGAGACATCTTAATATAGTTTAATGTATTGCCATAAGGATTGAAACCACATTTATGAGAGAATACAAGAATCCTATTTAAATGCAGAAAGATTTTTTTTTTTAAAGAAATGAAAAAGAGCAGGATTCTTCACATTTTAAAAACTGACTCTGAACCATCCAGGAGCCTATAAAGCACAGATTGAGAACAGTGTGTCCCAGATAAGCTACATGTAGCCAAACTATAATCAGATTGTTCCATTTACTTGAGCAATTCTTGATTTTGTTACCCAGCACTGTCAGTTCATTTATATTTTGTTTGTTAAAGTGTCTTTTGTTCAGAAGTGATTTTATACTCACACTGATGCAACTTTGTCTGCCCATCAAGTGATTAATGATTCAATTGCTCTCATTAACTAGAGATCGCAGGCAAACCGGGAAGGCTGTAAGACCCGCAGCCAGTATAGGACCCGCAGCCAGTACAAACTTTCTGGACCTCTCAGGGTGGCGATGAAGTTCCCAGCACGAAACACCAGGAGTGCAGCCAACAAAAAAGTGGCACCCCCCAAGCCCTCAGAGAATTTCACTATTGATTCCAATTCTGATTCAGAAGATGAAAGTGGCATGAACTTTCTTGAGAAAAGGGCTTTAAATATAAAGCAGAACAAAGCAATGGTATGTAATAATTTTGAACATGTCAGAACTAACTTTCCAATTTTTCTCTAAGCAATTTGTTACTTAGACTCGTTTCTTTATTTTCTGTGTAGCTGTGAAGTCTTCATGATGGGGGATATAGCCCAGTGATAGAGCAGTCTTGGCAGGTGCATGGCCCTGGGTACAATCTCATGTACTCCCTTCCCCCCCAATTTTTTTCCCCTCAAACTGCTTTTAAAATCTATTAAGCACAGAGGTGACATCAGAAACTCTTTTTGAATTTGTTAACTTAAAGCTGCTAGTGTAGTTTTCACAAATAAGTTGCTCATTTTCAGGGTTTTTTTTTTTTTTTTGTGTGTGTGTGTGTGTGTGTGTGTGTGTGTGTGTGTGTTGCTGGGGATTGAACCCAGGGCCTTGTGCATGCAAAACAAGCACTCTCCCAACTGAGCTATCCCCGGCCCCTTCAGCACTTATTTTAACCAAGAATTTCTATTTAATTTCTTCCCTTTTTAGCTTGCAAAACTCATGTCAGAATTAGAAAGCTTCCCTGGTTCCTTCCCTGGAAGACGTTCCCTCCCAGGTCCAAGATCAGTAAATGTAAGTCCTTGTTTGTACAGTATTGTTTTGGGCAAGCCTAGGACAGATTTGTGTGAGATTTTACAATGCAGTTTCCTATTTGGTCTTCTAGATGGTCAAAGGGTAACTAGAAGACTCTTTTTTGGTAGCTCTGGATTACAGCTCCTACTGCCTGTGGAGCTCATACCCTTTTAGAGTGGCTATTTCCCTCCTTCCCAGTTAGGCAAAGCCCTTCAGCATGGTGAAGATTAAAGGCTTGTTTCAGCTTTAGCACATTTCTCCTTCATGGTAGATGGGTGATTGATGTATTTAAAATCCAAGAGTGAGGGAAAAAAAGGAAAAAGTTTATCAGCTCATGGCCCAATATCATGTATGATGGTTTCCTGAAAATGAAGCTCAGACAACTGTGATAACAAAAGAAAAGTCTGCTTTATACTGACTCCCATGAGGAGGAGGAAGGGCAGCCAACAAGGAAGGGGAGAAGGAAACCAAACACTCTATGCAACGTAGAGTGTGGGTTCAGAGCTCAGGCGGAATCAGAGAGAAATTTTTGTTGGAACAGGAGGTAAGTTTTTTTTTTTTTTGCATTAAGTAGAGTAATACGTAGACTGATTTGAGAGAAAATGGGCTTAAAATTCCAAAGACCATAATATGGATTTGGGGGCTCATTCTCTGTGTAATGTGACATTTTTTCAAAGGGTTGCCTCTTTTTGTTATGGAATGAATGGGTGCCTCCTGCATGTATTTTTCAGCAGTCAAAGACACCCCGAAGGCGTACATTCCCAGGTGTGGCTTCCAGGAGGAACCCTGACCGGAGGGCTCGTCCTCTGACTAGGTCAAGGTCCCGGATCCTGGGGTCCCTTAGTGCTCTTCCCACAGAAGAGGAGGAGGAAGAAGAGGAAGATGATAAGTTTATGCTGGTGAGAAAGAGGAAGACTGTGGACGGATACATGAACGTGAGTTCTCCACATTGGTACTCACTCTTCTGTTTTTCTTCTTCTGTCGGCCCTGTTTCGTGAACACACACAGCCTCAACACCAATTATGATACAATTTAAATGCTTTTCATGAACCATCCATAATTGTTAATGTCACATAAACTTATTTGATTGTGTTAGCAGATGAGAGGTAGTTCTGCTTTTCTAATTGTAGGAATCATTTCCATAATGTTGTCCAGTTATCCGTACACTAAACTTACAACTGGCCCGCTCTCCATGAGCAAGAGGCATTTTCCAGGTTGAATTTTCAGTACAGAATAATGACAAATCAAGTATCTGAAGATTCAAAACTGGAGAGAGCCAGTAAGGAACTCTGTTTCATGCTTCTTGTTTCTCAGGATGATGATACGCCCAGAAGTCGGCGCCCAGGATCCATGACCCTTCCGCATATAATTCGCCCAGTGGAAGAAATCACAGAGGATGAGTTGGAGAACATCTGCAGCAACTCTCGAGAGAAGATATATAACCGCTCACTGGTGAGAGCCTCTAAATTATGTTTGGAAATGTAAACATCCATGAGAGGAGGGACAGCTTCTATCCCTAGGGTGGTGCTCATGTTCTAAAGGTCTGGGCATGAGGGATGCCCTCTGTCACTTGAATTATCTTCCTGGTAAATATGAAGTAGTGGCAAATCTTTTAATTTAGAAATGTATTTATTTGACACATTTATTGTGTATCTGTTGTGTACATGGATACATATACATGTGGGTGATACAGTGGTGGGTGTATTAAAGATAAAAATATATTGGAGCTGGATTTTTTTTTTTAACTATGTTAGTTATAAGAACTATTGCACCTGCCAATCATCCTGCTTGAGATACTTTTTGTGCCCTGGCATATACCTACGTATAGAGATATGAAATGAGATTCAAAGACAAAATGTGAGGATCGAATCCAGTGCCTCACTCATGCTAGGCAAGCGCTCTACCACTGAGCCACAACCCTAGCCCCAAGGATATTTCTCTACATAAAGCTGTGTTTTCATGTCTTCTTATTTACTCTTTATTGGTAGGGATCTACTTGTCATCAGTGCCGACAGAAAACCATTGATACCAAAACAAACTGCAGAAACCCAGAATGCTGGGGCATTCGAGGCCAGTTCTGTGGTCCCTGCCTTCGAAACCGTTATGGTGAAGAGGTCAAGGATGCTTTGCTAAATCCAGTAGGTGCCTTGGAGAAAGGGGTTGGTCATGGGGGCTTGAAGGTCCAGCCATAAGCTGATAAAGCCAGAAGAAGGGTAGTAGGAAGGGATTAAGGCCCTAGAGTTTTGAGATGCTCTTTTGGGGGAGTCAGATTAATTCAGTGTTAGTGCTGCACAGGTACGAGCCCCATCCAGAGTGCTCAGACCCAGCTATTCAGAGAAAGTTGACCCTATTTATTCCTGGAAGTTGTGTAACTGTCTTTCCTGCATTTTTTAAGGAAACAATGGGCATGACTCATGCATATTAGCTATTTTATGACTTCTTTTAATCTAAAAAATGGATTGATGATACCCACATTAAATAAAAAGATGAAATAAAATGGAGTAGATAAGTATGGGGAAAGTAAGGCTTAATTTCATGGTGTTTTTACACAATGCTCTTTCAGAACTGGCATTGCCCACCTTGTCGAGGAATCTGCAACTGCAGCTTCTGCCGCCAACGAGATGGACGGTGTGCAACTGGGGTCCTTGTGTATTTAGCCAAGTATCATGGCTTTGGGAATGTTCATGATTACTTGAAAAGGTAATGGCAGTTATTTGTCTTTCTTCCACACCTGAATCTTAATACAAAGACCCATAATACAAAAAAGATCTTAATACAAAAAAAAATATGAACCAAGGAGGGTCGGGGAATATAGCTCAGGGATAGAAATGGTTACCTCATGTGCAAGACCCTGGGTTTGATCCCTAGCAGCACCAAAACCAAAGACTATAATGGGTGTATAGGTAGTGTTAGAAAGGGTATATTGTTTTTTTTTTTTTTTTTCTTTTGGATGGTGCTGGGGATTGAACCTTGTGCATTCGAGGCAAGCACTCTACCAACTGAGCTATATATCCCTAGCCTGGAAACGGTATATCTTAATCTGGGTTGTAGTGACTGGGTGGCCGGTGTGTAAAGTTCAGGTTGAACACTTGATGTATGTACTTGACCATATATGTGTTATATATCTCAAAACATGTTTTCAACAGTTGAATTTGGCTTTCAAAAGACAATTCTTAGGTCACGGACTATATCCTAATATGTCCCTCTTTCTCTTTCACAGCCTGAAACAGGAATTTGAAATGCAAGCGTGATACCCACCAGATGCTGGCCTTCTGCTTCTCGCACCGCCCTTAAAGTTCTCGGTTTTGTCATTGATTAAGAGTCTTGACCATCAGTCTGCCTTATGGGAAACTCGAGTCAAGTTCATCTCATTAGACTGGCACATGTTTCTGGAACATCACGGGAGACATGTGGCTGGTTATACTTCACCCTCGTGTAGTTTCTCCTCTGCTTCCCCTGGACCCCATCACATAGCCCCTCTCTCTTTTTCCAGGAGTCCTCTCTAGTCACTTAGTTTCAGAATTATTTTTAAATCAGAGTTTTAACAGCATATTTGATTTAATTGGTGTTGAAATAGCCCTGAAATCTACCCATAAACCCTGAGCACTTAAAAACATGGTATAAAAATACTAACTGTTCTGTCGAGTTCCAGAGAGCAGCCCTCTGACTTGTTTATACAAAAACAATGGTTATGACTTTAATGTTCACACTAATTGACCTTTTTAACAGAATCAAGGCATGAAAATCTTAGAACAATGTGGAAAAACTAGTAATTGTTGGGAAATGAAGTATATTCCTGTGAATGCCTCTCATGAGAATACCAGCATGTATTGTGGTTACTATATAACTTGTCACAGTTGAGACTTTGTTGCCTCTGATTTCTTCCACCCTAAAGTGAAGTGGTGCATCCTGTTTACAATCTTCCAAAGGTCTGTGGGCAACATGACACTGCACTACTTAAAACAATTGTCTTAAGAGAAATTCTGGGAATTTAGGATGGGGAACCTCAGAGTAGTCTGATATAAATTCTTGCTGTAAAAGTTTTTAGAAACTTGATAATAACTAGACTATTGTTCTTTGCAGTTTCTTATATTATCCCTGGGTGTTGCTGTGTACAGGGATTTTTTTCAGGTTGTAAGCATTTTTTTATAACAATGAGAAGTGCTGAGGGCCATTACCAAGTAGGTATTGACGCATCGTAATCCTTGCCAGTGTACCCCATGTTAAATGGACTTGCCTTGGAAATTTGCTGCGACCTTGCTTGTGTGTTTGAGAAAGATGACCCTGCTCAAGGTGATCGAGGGTGGATCCAGGTTTGAGGAAGTATCCTGCAGGTTTGAGGAAGTATCCCGGTCCTTGGGCTTAGGGTGTTCCCGGTTTAAGGCGTTTCCCGGTTTAAGAATATGGGTTTTAGGGAAGTTGAGGTTGAAGATTATTGCTGCTGGGATTAGGGTGTTCCTGTTGCTTGTTCCCGTTGAGTTCTCGTGAGATTCAAATGGGATTTTGGAAAAAGCCTCGTGGAGTAGGTGAAGTGTGGGGCAGAACGAGACTGCCCCTGAACGTGTGTGGAGGCTGGTGTGAGATCCGGAATAAAGAATTGCTGTTTGAACCTACAGAGCTGTGTGGTGGCTCGTGATTCTGTGCCAAGCCGAGTCATTGGCACTTGGCTTCGGCAGAGAAGTGCCTTTTCAGAGATGAATAACTTTCAATGGTTTTTTAACTTGGTATCTCTGCCATTGTAGTTTCTGGGCAGATTTCTTGGAATCTTAAATTGTAATTCAGCCTTATTAGATATGTAATTGGGAAGCTTTAAATGTTTAGAGGTTATGCAAATTGGTACTTACTTGGAGTCTGTCTGTGTGGTGCTGGGGATTAGAACCCAGAACCTTCTTCCTGGCGAAGCCCATATTTCAGCCTGTTGTTTGGAAAATTTGGGTTGTTAAAAAAGATTTTGTCTTTTTCTTTCCTTTCACATAAATCATTATATTGTAGAAGTGGAATTTTAAGTGTTTGTGTGTCCAGTGTATTGCATGTATAGCCTGTTGCTGTACCCTTTCAGAGTTTGATGCTTAATTGGACTTTGAATCAATAAGTGTAAATATAGCTTTTGATCTGTAATACTTTTATTCAAAGGTTTTTATTTTAATAGTAAAACATTTTGTCATAAAATGTCTTTTTTTTTTTTAAATAATGTCTTCCTCATATTTACACAAATGTCATTTAAACTTTAGAAGTTTCCCTCTTGGCTTGTTTCTGAAGGTTAAGGGCTACCCTCTCTTGAGCAGTGTCTTTCTTGGTGATGTGACCAGTACCTGTGATCAGAAAGTGGACTAAGGCAACCATGTCACCTGATTAAACACAATATGCTCTCAGGAAATTACACAGTATTATTTTTTTCCTTTATTATATACTGCCCCAGGAACTAATGGTGATTTTGCAATACTTGGCTGCTTTTATCAATCATTTGAATATTAAATGCTTGCTGTTCCCTGAGGCCTGTTCCAGGACTTGAATACCAGAAGACACAAAAGTACTGATCTAAAAGCTTGAATAACCCAGTTCTTTAGATCAGGGATTGGCAAACCACAGCCTGGGTCAGATCTTGCTATAGCCTAGCTTCTAATGGTGCATATGTAATTTTTCCCCCCACATTTTTAAAGGGTTGCTGTCTTTTTTTTTTTTTTTACCTTTCTTTACAAAATTCTATTTTTTTAAATTTGTTTTAATTAGTTACACATGACAGTACAATGATCTTGACATATCATACATTTGAATCAAATGGGGTATAATTTCTCATTCTGAGTGTACAGGTTGCAGAATCACATTGGTCACGCAGTCACGTATATACATACAGCAATATTAGTGTCTATTTTATTAATATTAGTGTCTATTTTATTCTGTTGTCCTTCCTATCCCCCCTTCCCCTCCCCTCCCATCACTTTTCTCTACCCAATCTAATGTGACACACTTTTTTTCCTTTTCCCTCACATCATCATACATGTAATCTGTATAAATATGAGGGTCTCCTTCCTTCTTCCGTGCAATTCCCCTTTCCCCCCCACATTTTTAAAGGTTTGCTGTCTTTAAAAAAAAAAAAGGTGGGGGGACAGGCATTGTTATCAAAACCTAAAATATTTATAGCCTGGAGCTTTACATAAAAAGCTGACCATGTCCTACACCATACTGTGTGAAAAGCTATATTTACTTATGCACACCTGGAGAGAAGACCAAGCCAAAAGAAGTTGTAAAACTAAATTGATATTTCTTCATAAATTCTTGGGATCTTAAATTTTTTTTTTTTACATTTTTTTTTTTAAAGAGTGAGAGAGGAGAGAGAGAGAGAGAGAGAATTTTTAATATTTATTTTTTAGTTTTCAGTGGACACAACATCTTTGTTGGTATGTGGTGCTGAGGATCGAACCCGGGCCGCACGCATGCCAGGCGAGTGCGCGCTACCGCTTGAGCCACATCCCCAGCCCTTGGGATCTTAAATTGTAATTCAACCGTGTTAGAGATGTAATTGGGAAGCTTTAAGTGTTCAGAGGTTATGCAAATTGGTACTTATTTGGAGTCTGTCTGTGTGGTGCTGGGGAGTCTGTCTGTGTGGTGCTGGGGATTTGAACCTAGAACCTTGTTCCTGGTCAAGCCCATATTCCACTGAGCTACATCCCCAGCCTGTTTGGAAAATTTTAGGTGTTAAAAGATTTTGTCTAGAAGAGGAACTAAGGTAAAAATCTAAAAATAATGTCCTAAGGGGGATGAAGGAAAGAAAACAGGTGTTTTCTTATCAAACCTTTTCAATCTTGGATGAATATATGGATTTCTTTGTGGGATTTTCCTTTTGTTTTAAAGGCGTGGTCTCTTGCTCAGGTTGACCTTGAAATCCTGGGCTCAAGTGATTCTGCCTCAGCTTTGCATACGTGGGACTGGCTCTCAGCCATGGACTTTGTGGTAACTTAACAATAAGGAAATCTCAGGTCAATTGCTTGGTCTTGGCCTTGACTGGAACCTACAGGTCCCATTGCAGAGCTCCACACCATCAGATTTGTAAAAAATAGAGTTTGAACAGTGGATGTGGAAGGAGGTACATGACAGCTGTGCTCCACGAGCTCTTCATGGAGGTAGAGGTGGTGGCTACCATTTCGTTTCGTTGCCGCTTACTCTGAAGAGACTAAGAAAACTTTCATGGTGCTTTTTGCTTTTAGAAGAAAGGGAGCTACTCCCTGAAGGAAGGTAGGAAATTTGGTCTTTTACAAACTGAGAGAATGAAATTAAAGTTCAGTGCTTTTTGGGGGAAAAATATTAGGTACTGAAAAGAACAAGTTCTCAATTAAAAAAAAAAATGAGCACAGGTTATTTTATGTCAATGTTAACCAAACATTTATCAGGTATCTGCAGGATGAGGAAGTAAATATAGAAAAGTTGAGAAAAATGCCCAACATTATACAACTGAAGTGGCAGAGCTGACTGAACTGGATATCAGGGAGAGGACTTTATCTTTTATTTAAGCAAATAGCAGGAGTAGAAAATGCAGAGGAGAGTGTTGATCCTGTTGTGTAGGAGAGCAAGGTCCTTTGGGTACTAGGTCAAGCCTGGCTGAGAAACCCCACTGCAAAGGGACTAGGTAGCCACAGGGCTCATAAGGACCAAGGGCTTGTGCTGGAGATAAAGGTGGATGGAGAGCAGGCTCAGGAGTGAGGGAGTGGGATGGACAGAAACGAGGTTATAGGATCATCCAGCATAGATGCTAGAAACCCCTGAGGTTTCTAAACTACAGGCATGAACATCCAGGAGAGGGCTCTTTAGAGACCTACAAGAATGGAGAAGGAAGAAGGAAAGCAGAGGGCAGAAATGACTAGGAGCTGTTGGCTACGAGACAAAGCAAGATGGCACCAGCTTGGAGAGGCAGCAGGGAGTTAGGAATTTGTAGAGAAATGGATTTGTTCCAAGGAGAGGCCTTTATCTAGTAAGATATCCAGCTGATGAAAGACTTGGAGAGAAAGAGTGAGGTAAAAGGGAGATGACAAAAATCCATTAATACTAGCACTAGTTTTTTTTTTTTTTTTTTAATTATTTTGCAGTTTTGGGAATTGAACTCAGAGCCTCACACATGCTAGGCAAACGCTCTACCACTGAATACCATCTACAGTCCTCCTTGCATTTTTTTTTTGTATATGGTGGCATTTATACTATGTGTACAACTTCTTCAGCACTAAGATTTGGCCTCAGAGGTCTTTAATAGCTTTTTGTTTGTTTTCCAGTTCCAGGC